GAGAAAAATCAGATCGAAATCTCACAACACTTTCAAGACAACATATAACTATCTATTGTTATATCTTGATCGTCTCTGATTGTTGTGCTGGAAAAATGCTGATCACTTATATTCGGAACGAAAGTCTCCTGCAACCCCCACGACGCGAAAGTAAGAACACAGATACTGGTATAAGTGAAGATTATTAGCCCCAAAACACTATGATGATGACTATAATGACGATGCTTCTAGTAGAAAATACACTTATTTATATATTGACTGTACACCCATTTCGATTAATAATAAGAATGAAGTCACATATATGAAAAATACTCAGAGTTATAACAAATCACATACTGAGCATAGTTCAAGTCAATGGAATACAAGAATATCGTATATTATACAGGATAAAATATCATACGAGAAAAGAAACAATTACTACATTGAGTAAACGCTACATTGAATCAAGACGGATGTAGTGATGAATAAAACTCATATTGAGTAAATCAATCAAAAATTGACTTTTCTTTCCATCATATCATCTATTTAGGTTACTGATGATTCCTTGGAATAGGAAATAAAGGTTTCCAGTGAATAAAACTGAACCATCAACATAAATGAACTTTGAATCTGAAAATACAAGCAAACGATTTGTAGAATTACTGGGTCTAGATGATATTAGTACTGGTCTAATAATTGATCTGGTCCCAAAATCGTTGATTTGTCATGATATAACTACCTAATCTACAACATCTTACGTAGAAGTCACATCATCATCCACACCAACTCACTTCATCTTAACAATCACCAATATATGATGGAGAACAAGCTTAGGCTAGAGATGGAACAATGTACTTAATACGAATAAAAGATATAAGGTACCATTCAACAGGGACCACGCGTGCAACGCCGAGCCATGCCATCCAATCAACTTGAATCCATTCAACTCGTTGTTCCCGCCTTTCTCATCGTCGGGATTTTCTCCGCGTTAAATGTTGAATACTTATTTCCCATATTTTCCCGTGTTAGGGTCCAATCACACTACATATTGTCACTGTTTTTTGGATCCTGAAAGAGGGTGTGTGAAGGTTATCTAATGTCAGCTCGGCTCAACCATTAGGAGGTGGTTACTGTAAATCGCCCCTACGTATTTTAAATATTTTACCCCCATCACCAGCTCTCATATATTCTTCGAAGGTGATTATAAACGATACAGCTGACAGCCACGACTGTGGTGTATGTCACGCATATCGACAGACATAAGTATTTTGTCACACTATTACGAAACGAAAAACCTGACATCAGAAGGCTAGGACGATAGAGATAATGAGAACAGAAACAGAAATGTTAAGGAACTGTGAATCGGAAGTAACCTACAGAATGTAAAGAATGAATGATGAAAATTTGCAAATGAAATATTTAGTGTTTAGTTTTCATAAATTACCAAAGAGCTCTATAATTTTATGTTAAGTGATAAATTAGTCGTCCTCCCCCGTGTTTTTGTTCGCAACACGAGGAGTGAGCTAACCAAACTAACCCACCATGAATATAACGAAAGGAAGGTCTTAAAAATTCCTTTCAATTGCTTTTCTTGAATTTTCATTCATGCTTTGTATGTTTATCATCACCCAGGTCTCATGGACCATATTTTTATATTTTCCATTTTTATTTGGATAAACTCTTATCATGACTTTTGCCCCTACCGATTATCACGTTTCTAAATCGTAAATGCGAATACACTCTGGGATGACCTTGTTCTTGTGCTAAACCAATGACGCACCAACCAAAACTAGCAGCCCTGCATCAACTGTGAATCCTGATTATTCCTAGTCACCTGGCGCCGCCTGTTGAGTCCAGAACTCGTTTTCAGCCCCCATTGTATGAGTCGTATATTTCAGATATACTTGGATAATACACAAGTAGATCAGAACTCATCATACACTGAAACTAATGATTTGCGAATAACTTATGAATAGTAAATCGTATAATAAAATCCGATAGGTCAAAACAAAGTTTATGATGAAAGGAATATAATATAGTTGCTTACTGGCTATCCAACAGGAATATATTTAATAATAGTCCATAAACAATCCCAAGCAGTTAACATTCATTTATTCTTCGTTCTGATGTAACACTTATTATTGACTTAAGACACGAAAGTCCACTTGTGAGAACAAACATGTCACTGCTCTAGCTCTTGAACTTAGAAAGTACAACATTAACTTTCAACCCTGACTTATCGTCCTACTTAATCACATTCTTAGCCAAGTTACATACTTTTCCAGCCTAGTTCCAATTTTTACATTCATAGATTCCTTCACAGCTAAATGTACATGTTTCACAGGTCTACCTGTCATTATTCACAGGTTTCTATAGGAGGCTAGTAGTACTGTGTGGTCTGTGAATACAATACAAAACAATCACAACAGCAGTTATAAAATGATGAGGACAAAAATGATGCGCATACATACAGTAAAAAATTGATTGTCCTGTCCAAAACAACATGTTCTTTGATACAATCAAAGGTCAACAGGTATCCCTTTCATGTTACCACCAACTGTGTATACAAATTTACATGTATCTGCCAAAGCAGTAAAATTGGTAGAACAGAAAGAAGAGCCTATGTCCGATTCAAAGAACATATTCCAAAGGGTTTGAGATCAAACGGACTAAAAGCATTCAGCAGCGCTATCGCAAGACATCTCCATGACAGAGGACACGAGGTCGATATACTGAAATCCCTCAAAGTGATCAACAAACAATCAAATTCGAACCTTTTGAAATTCCCCAAAGCGATAACAATCAAACGTTTAAAACCAGATCTTTGTGTAAAAAAAAAGAAACAGTAATAAATCTTTCTTTGCCTGGGTAACATTACCCGCCCCCCCTTTTATTTATTACGTCATTCCAACTGTCTGAATTTCATAATTACATCATTCATAACTGGCCAATTTCAATTCATATCTCTCTTTATTATCATTAATCTATTTTCGGCTACTTCATTGCATAATTATATAATGTGTTTTAATTCCATGAGTTCTAATCACTATTTCTATGTTATGGAACCTTCCCTCCCAAACTCTGTATATTCGAAACAAAAGTTTTATGACCTCGTAGTGACCTACTTCTGTCAACAGAATGCGATTGGTTCAATTAAAGCAATTATTATTATAACCAATTGTACCAGTGACTGTTTTACCGTGCTCGTTTGTTTAACTATGCTAATGACAGCCATTACACTCACTCTTTCGTTAATTTTGAACTTGTGCGAATTCGATTACGCCTAGCACTTACGCTTGTACTTCTTTGGCACGATCTCGGTATTCTTTCGATACCACGAGATCGCCAACAAATACATCTCGACTACAGCTATCATCTGCCTTCTGATATTGGCCTACGGGAATCTTGTTGGTTAACTTGCATGTAGTCTTCTTGTAGTGGTGTTTATAGTCAAGCGCGACTCGACTCCACGCTACAACCTCATTAACTCTGACGGAATCTTTGCTACATCATGTTACATATATTCATCCTCCATCATCTTCTGATGTATAAGTATGTCAATATCTGTAATAACGTTGAATTTCAAATATTTTACGTTGTACGCAGCTGATAAGAACCTAACGAAATAAAATAAATTCATATTCTTCTGCACCATCCTTTGTTCTTGCTCTCTTTAAAATAACAAAGGGAACTACGTGTATGAAAAATACTAACTTTTATGCTATCCTAGCAAATATAGGGTCCACAGCAGTAAAACACAAAATAATGGATTAATACCTTCCCTATCGGTTGTCTCTTTGTGTCAATATAAAATATCAACTTATCTTACTTATTCTTTATGCTTTAAGTTCTACACCACTAATATATCTGTGATATATCCAGTCTAGTGATATTGAGAAATCCCACTTGTTCGTGTATCTTGCTGTCTTTTCTATTGTAACTAGACAACGATGTGGATAAACCCGAGCATATATGTACGTCAGCGTGCATTGTACTCTCATCTTCATTAAAAATATTACTAAGTCTAGCCGGAAGTTTGTGATAAAGTGACGGCTTTTTTATGTGTTATTTATATATTTCATTCTTCAGACCAGCTCTAGATAAAATATGACATATAACAGACTTTGGACGTCTTGTTTTCTTAAATACCACCTGTGAATTAGAACAGTTAGCCAAATCCTATAAAACAATTAATACTATCAATTCGGAATTCTATGTAACACTGCCGAAAATTTCTCCTAGATCTCCATACAACCAATGGACCATATTGATGAATAAAAAGCTAAGGTAATAAGGTTAAGAAAGTTTCAACAGTGTGTGCTGATGAAGTCGGTTTGGAGGCCGTTGAGCACGTGAGCTTCGAGCAGTGCAACATCTTGGTCACTATCTTTTTGTAAATTTCCCCCTTAAGTTTTCCTACTAAATACAATACATCTTTTTCGAGGATTCACTTTACGATATACGTGTTATATAGTTCAGTTTCGTTGGGATGGGTTGCTATTGCATGTTGCAGGCGTAGCAGCAACATTCTCTCAGTTCTCACTACAGGAGGATTGAGACTAGTATTTCAGTAGTTTTGTTTCCATACGAAATAGGATTGGCGGAACTTAATATTTTAGATAAAGTTTCGTTCATCAGCTTGTCGATAATGATTAAAACTACCAACTACTGCTCATTATTATTCATTTCAGCACAAGTGTCCCACATACGGTCTATCAATTCAGAAAATGGTAGTTTTTTCCAAGTTATAAAGGAGGTTTCAGCAAATACCTGGCAAATTGAATTCGACCACATCTTCCGGTCTTGTTTCTCTGTTGAATAGTTGTGTTCATTAACTCCTCACGGGATAGATATTTTACAGTTTACTGCCAAACGGCTCCCGTAAAATCCAAATCATATTCGTTCTTATTTATCCTGTAACTAAATAAAGAACCTATTTGTGGTATATTTGTGAAATGTTTTCTGCGATTTTTTTAGTTAAATCATTTCGAATCCACACACCAACTTTTGTGAATTTCAATAAATAAGGCGGAACGTTCATACATAGCGTTACTATGGGGCTTATGCGTTTATTATCAATCTTCGTGGTCCTACTTCTTTTGTATGGTGAGTATTTTATTAGGTTCTATGTGTTTGTGCCAAGGCATAAGGTAGTTGTTCATACGTTTATATGCTGTGGTACATTGTCCTGATCTACTAAAATACTTCCACCTGTCTTTTACCCAACCACTAAAACTAGACCTATGACATTTTGCATAGAAAACTGTGTAAAACAGAAGCTATTTCGTTTCAAATTCTTCTCATCGGACTATTTGTTGATAAGTCCACTTATATTCCGTCCGACCAACAAAGGGGGAAATGCATTGGAAAATAACGGGGAAACGCTCCAAAATGTCTGCTTTCTCGCCCTTCCGGGGGAAATAAAGCGGATTTCCCCCTTTTGTCGCTCTGTGTTCAAATGTCGATGAATTGTCTGTTTTTTCCTAAATACACACCGAATTGTCTACTTTTGCTTCAACTTTTAAAAAACCTCCTGCATAACTTCAAACGTCTCCTGTGTTCGCTTTTATTTCCACAACACACCACACAAAGACTTCAATCCACATGCAAAATGGTATATGTTTAAAGAAATTTATTGAAAGGAAAACGCGTATTATTACACAACATTATGAGTAGTTGGCAGAAGCTTGAGCATCAATCAATATGTGTTTGGATTGTAATTGCCAAGTCTTATTGTAATTTGAGATCTATAAAAGAAAGAACCGGTGATGTAATATTAATAATGCACGTGCACTTGATTGCAAGTGCACTGAAAATCAAACACACTTTCTCAACACTTAGTTAAAGAGTTTCCCATGCAAGGAAAAAAGTAAGTGTGTGTTTAAAATACTATTTATTGAGAATTAAATTGAACATTATGAATATTCCACGAATTGCTTTTTTCTTAAAGAACAAAAAAGTTACAACGCTATCTAAATGACATGCTTTGACACAACTAGCTACTGTGCACATTGAGCAGTAGAGTTATTGTCGACGTTTATGAAAACAAGTACGGGATGCGGTATATCCAAACACTATATGTTACGTAAACCTGTCGACAAATTTCCCCCAAATACACGACGTAAGAGGGAAAAATCGACATTTTCCCTAAATAACTGACGTGAAGGCGAAAAAGCGACATTTCCTCTTTATTCACGCTTCCATCCCCTTTATTTCCCCTTCATTGGTTGCTTGGGATGTATGCGAACATCTAGGCATGCCTGAACTAATGAAGTCCTTCAATGTAGACATCCCAAAAATCGTGAACGATCTTTGAAGCGTTATTTAGGTCTCGAGTACCTCAGATTTTCTGTGTATCAATGACGTTTGCAAGACATGTCTCTTTATTTATTTGTTTATTTAAACACATATATTAGTACAAGAGGGGCACCAGATATATACGCGCCATACGGGCACCAGATAGGGGCCCCAAATGTCCTGGCACGGCCGAAGATGGAGAGGGCCCGCTCTCCCTCTCAAAATGTTCTCACACGGCCACGCGTATACACTCTCTGCCAGGAAAGTCCTACCCACTGCCTCCTCGTGGCGGGGACATTGGTTACGAAATTAAGAGGATGATGTCCGACGCTTTAACCGGGCCGGTGGACACGGTAACTCCACGCAGGAGTTGGAAAACCCTGATTCCAAACCAATGGCGCACATGGGCTCCAGTATCCTGAGGGAAAAAATGGAGTATGAACCGATTGTTGGTCACCGGCTACCATGGGGCTGCATCTCCTCACGATGCTCCACTGCCTTGTGGGTCAGACATTTATAGGTCAAAGGCTCCGGGCATGGCCCCCTAAGAAAACCATCTACTTCAGTATGAACACTTGGGAAGTATCACAGCCCACGCACAAGTAAAATGAAACGACGTTATTTATTGAAAATACTATTCACGCTCCGATTAACAATCAAACAACTCACATTATTATTATTATTTACCACGTCACTTATTCACTCTCTTTTATTCCCACATTTTGTATCCTTATTTTTCAACTTATACAGCAGCTCGCCCATGGTGAAACTGTTCATATCTCTTATTTGACAGTATTTCTCCCAACCGATTACGTTTTCTGTAAACCATATCGTTGGGTTAGCGTCTTATCCAAAAAACCCGTTTTTTTAGGTATCTTTAGGATCCATTCCTAACCCTACAATTTTCAATTGTTCCTCAATTGTTATGTTTAGTAGTAACTAGCGAAACCTCTTTACGGATTCAGAAAGTTCGACGGGCTTTTTCCAACTTGCGTCAATTGTGTCGTAGGCGAGATACCCCTCCACCAAACTAAGACATAATATCAGTCCATGAACCACTGACCATGTAGGTGGGTACAAACTACCTGGTTTGGGTCCGCATGATGATCGTAACCAATTGTTGGAGGCTTCCGGTGGCATGTGTCCTAATCCTTTAATCCATCTTTTCCTCTCTAATCATATCCTCAGTGATGATCTATTACATAACCACCAATACTGTTACTACCTATACTTATCTTGGATTTTTTCGGGGACTTCGTCTCGCTGTGCCAATGGGGTGTGGTAAGGTGCGACGATGTGCACGCACCGAGTTCTACGTGTTCTAAAAAACCGTCGGTTTTGGAATTACTGTCAAGAAGTCCTGGTTTTTTATGGGCTGTTGTCATTTCTTCCCTTTACTTTTAGCTCGTATCTATTCCTCAGTTTTTGCTGGAGTCACAAAGTTCCATTATTCCCTGTATGGCATTCTAGGAAGTCATCGAGTAATTGGGTGGTCAAACCTTATTTTTGCTGTATCTGTTGGAAGTAGGCCTAGCTTTACGTCTGGTTTTTCTGGGTGTTTTCTAACTTGATGTTTGAATTACAAGACTAATGTTCGCTTGTCTGGACTTTCATTTCTACCGGGCCTTTTACCAAGTGGTATTCTTTCCTCCAGCCCATGTGAGCCAGTCGACTTTAAGCTTGTTGTAGGTGACTAATTATTTACTGACTGTGTAAGCGTAGTCGTATCTCGATAGAGACCAGCAGAGTTGCACTTAAAAATATATTGTTAGCTATGTTTACCATTCCGATAGCTTCTGATAACAAGCTTACTGCACCCGATCAGCACTACTAACATAATCACACGCATCCATGTTCACTACATCCTTTAAAAGCTTCAGGTTTTAGATTAGTACGAACTATGTGGCCCCACTTATTGTACTCATTACATTGCATGTCATTATCCGCAGAGTATTGGCAACTTAGGCGTTGACAATAGCTTTTTCACACTTTACAGCCATCACTCAAAGATTCTAAAATAACCTTGAAAAAACGACCACACAGAGACAAAAACCAACAATCAAAACGTTGGGCAAAAAACAAAAGCGAGTCATGGAACGTTAATTTCGAAAAGTGCTGTAGCCAAAAGAATGCCATATCCAAAATGAGTACACATATGAAAGATATTTGTTGAAACAGTGTTCTTTCAAACAGTGTTACTGAAAATAATTCATTTAAGGTGAAAACAGTAGTAGTTAAGGAAAATACCAGTCTTTTTAAAGTGCGCGCCGAATCTATAGAAAACCCAATAAAGTGCTTCATTCCACTATTTTCGGGCATCAGTACTAAAATATTACTTGATTTTATCTTAAAATTTCTGTTATAACTTAGAATGGTAAACATCCACTTCTTCTGCATGTTTTTAACAACTAACATACAGTTATAAATAAGTCTGACTTATTATTCTCATAAACTTTGATCTTCCTCATCTTATGTTTAACTATATTAATTCGAGCGTTAAGGTTTTAAATATGACTGATAATGATCTGCATATCATTGGATATTCCTTCTAGATGAAATACTTGCTAAATCAAAATCAAAGGGATTTGGACGCTCGAAGACACTTTCGATTTCAAAACCAAAACATCGTTATTCGGGAAGATCAAGCCTTTTTTCACGTCGAAGCGGACTGTACGTGAGCCTATTCAGCATGTATTTTCCACTTTGTTTGGTCTTTCGGTAATGTTTTACCTGGACACTTCCACTGGCTAGGATGATTTATTTGCTTAGATGCAAGTTAGACAGTCAATATATATGACTCACACATTTTCCGTAAACAAGCTCTTTCAGTTTTGTTAGTTGATATTATGACCTCCATAAAACTATTTTTACACATTGGAAACACCACTTTTTGCAGGTCAAGTCGTATAATCAATTTCTTTCATGAAACTTGTTATATTTTTCTGTTCGTACTGGTATAATAACTTAATAATTAAGATTGGTACTCCCAAGAAATTACTTTGAGTACGGTGTTTCATCCCTGCTAAGAAATATTGCTACTTGTGGATTTACTTTTTTGCCCCAACCGGCACTTACGACTTTCATATGGTCCCAGTTTTTGTGGTTAAATGTCTCGGACAAGATATAGCTTTAGGGACACCTTTTGCTTGAAACTTTGATGAAAAAAAGTGATTACACCACAGCGCGAAATGTTTGTGTAATTTTTTACTGTCGACCGTATTAAAGTGTAATGATAGTAATCTCTTTCATTTCGATAATCAGAATTTCTAGTAGTGCTGCTCTTTTATTCTTTAGTAAATTGATAACGGTAACCCCTAAAGGTCTTACATTTTAGTTTAGTCTATGACATTTTTGTTGACGAGTACAGTGGATCTACCTAGGGAAGTTGGAAAACACTGATTTCAAACCAGTGGTGCTCATGGGCTGCAAGATCCTGAGGAGAAATGGCGTATAGACCTATTGTTAGTCAGTGGCTACCATGTGGCTGGATTTCCTGATATTACTCTAATGCCTCGTGGATTAGACCTCTAGGTCAAAGGCTCGTGGGTGACCCAAAATAACCACCTGTTTCGGTTTCGGCGACTGGAAAGTATTTTAGACTTCACAAAAAGTAAATGATGACTACACCTAGAAAAACCATTCATATGTTAATTATAATTCCTACAAATCATACTCAAAACTGCTTGTTAATACTCGTTTTTATTTTACGTTGCGATTGTTGACCTGCAATAAGTATGGTGGTATTTATTTTAACATAAATATTGGTACAAAGAGGAACCGAATACATATGCACCACACAAGCCATTTGATTTGTGTGTGGGCTATGATACTTCCCAAGTGTTCATACTGAAGTAGATGGTTTTCTTAGGGGGCCATGCCCGGAGCCTTTGACCTATAAATGTCTGACCCACAAGGCAGTGGAGCATCGTGAGGAGATGCAGCCCCATGGTAGCCGGTGACCAACAATCGGTTCATACTCCATTTTTTCCCTCAGGATACTGGAGCCCATGTGCGCCATTGGTTTGGAATCAGGGTTTTCCAACTCCTGCGTGGAGTTACCGTGTCCACCGGCCCGGTTAAAGCGTCGGACATCATCCTCTTAATTTCGCAACCAATGTCCCCGCCACGAGAAGGCAGTGAGTGGAAGTGTTGTTTACGAAATTGATGGTGCCCTAACACTTAGCAGATGGTGGAGAAATGATTGACAGATCCTCGATCAGAAAGAAAGCCAGCCTGCTCCAAGCGTGTCAATCTTTCCCGTGTTTTGAACACTACGAAGTATAATGGAAGCCAATAGTTTTGACGCAAGTGGCATTGGATTTATCCCCCATTAGTTATTGCATTTGTGACACGAACCCTTTTCAAAGATAGGGACAACTATCAACTCATTCCACAGTGTTGGAACACTCCCTAATCGCCAAACATTTGTAGACAACTCAGACAACTAGATGATCACCATTTTTAACAAGGGACGGAGGTAAGTCGTCTGGGCCTGATGATTCGTGACGCTTCAAGAGTTGGATTTCCTTACGGAATATCGCCTAGTTAGGTGGATTGGTCGTCACCAGCCATGTGGAGCAGGACAGTCTCATTGATGTCGTCTGGGCAGCAGACTAGTTAAACTGCTCTTCAAAAGACTCGACCCATCGTCCAAGACCTCGGTTGATGTTATTGATTGGCATCCCATCAACTTCATAGATTGTTTCAGTCACACCAGCCCTCTTGCTGCCAGTATCTTGGATGAGTTGGTAGAACCTCCGGCAGCAAGTGTTACTTCCAACTTTTTGGCACGCTCCGGCCACTTGGCTTCTCAGTCGTTACACGAACTATGTACGATTTTCCAACTTAAGAATCTACGTTTATTCTTCGGTTAGCGGAAGTAGACCGACATATCTCAAAAAGTTTTTGTAGCTTGTAGAAACCTAGTGAAGCCACAAGTAACTTTACTTACCATTTTTATGGCGTCATCCAAATTTAGCTGATGCTTATCCATACTTTTTTATGTTTGCGTTTCGATATATTTACCGTCATCTTTTAATTACTTGTTTTCCATACCATTCTCATTATTGCGTTCATATCTTTTTGTGATATTTTTTGATACAGGTCAAATTCTCGCAAAAAAGCACTATTCTTTGGAGCTGGTGCTCTGGCTGGTATTTATATTGGTTCACAAATAAGATCACGTGTGCACCTAAGATCATATCATGATTTGTGTAAGTTTTCATCGCAATTATCTAACTAATATATTTTGATGAACCTGTTAGTATATGCTTGCTTAGTCTGAAAGTAATCCGCAATATCAACCGTAAAGCAATTAAGACCAGCCGGGATTTACTTCGAGTTTCAATTCAGTTATACAAAATTTCACACTATATAACAAATCAGCTATGGATAAATATGTAAACCATCAACTCTGTACTCATTGTCTGAGTAGTATGGTATTATTTCGAGACTTAAGGTTTTATAACATTCGTACTACATGTAGTCATCAGGCGATACGGTTTCCAAATTTCTGATTTGAATTGAACAGCTCTACCGCATTTCCTTGTTATCACTGATTTTCGCCTGATTCATATCATACATGATCTATTCCTAACTATATTCAACAAATTTAATAACTTATTTTGTACTATTCCTAATGCTATTATGAAAACGTTCGTTTTTAAGTTACATATTAGCCCTTATTCACAGATTTCTCGTTAGTTAAATATGTATTCTTAACACTGATGAGATGAATATTAATCTCGGAATCTTGAGTTTACCACTTCGTACTCAGTACCAAGCTTCACATCCGTTCAAGAAGCTTGTCTGCAACATTCATAGTTAATAGCAAAACTAGAAGGATAAATGTCCTTAGAAATAAACGGAATACTTTAAGCACTTACAGTTGGATACCGCTTCCGACATAATAATCATATCAACCGGTTTATAAACATACCTGAACAAACCGAAGTTCCAGGAAACGCCTCAAGTTATAGAGAGTGCGTTCGGCGTGCTTCCGAATGTCGGGATCAATGTTTTTATTTTACCTCTATAGTTACAACAACGCAGCTGCTTTGGCTATCTAAGGTTTGTGTACTTTCGATGTTCCCCGGCTATTTTTACGTTGCAGTAGGCGTGCCTTTTCAGTATTAATCTTTATTAGCGATCTCCATCCGAAATAAATATCATGTGGACCGGGTGATATGTTTGTTATTTAGGCCAATATCTCGCAACTCCACCTCCAATACGGTGAACAAGGATATCGCTATCCTCTGCTTCCTTGCTCCGCTAACTAAAGTCAGAAGTTCATTTTAGTAGTAAAAGCTTTGTCGATGATGATCTCAGTAGAGTTAAGTTAATTGATTATATATCGATTTCAATTATAATAATTTATAAACTGAGTAATTGTCACTAAACATCGAATAGTACACAAAATGCATTGAAAATCCTTAAAGTAATGCGACGAAAATGTGTTGTAGGTTGACCTGATATTCACCCTAAATCAATATTCATTTTCTTACTTCTAAGCAGTATTTTGAGTGCTCAACATCCCAACACCAGGAATTACAAGTCACATTAGCAATACTATCAAATGACAGTTATGATATTTTGTTAGAGGTTTGATCTATTGGTAACCTGGTGCAGGATGCAACAATCTGATTTGGTGTTGTAGCGAATAGCCATTCCGCCACAACTTCATTCGGTGTTGAGCCTGTAACTTCTTACCTTGATACTTTGCCCAAGAGTTATGCCTAACAATTAGATCTTAAATAATTCTAAGGTGACCGACCTACAAACGCATTTCATCAGATCACCTATGATAAGTGATCATGTTTATCGTGTTAATTTATTGTGTGTAAACATGTCACTTGGTTACATAAAAAACTTGTGGCAATTAGTCCTGTCTACGACTTCAAGTTATTCAGAGGCCTCTGCTAGTAATATAGTGATATGACCATCGCTCTGTCACGCTTTGTAACGTTGCATATCATCTGTTGATTAGCATTCTTCTCTTTGGTTTTGACAATCGAAAATCTTTCTCAAATCATAAATGTTTAATCCATGACATCTAGTAGATCAATTGTCATCTTAAATGACCACCAGCACTGTTCTAACTCGTATCTATCTACACAATAATGAACGCAATGCAATACTTGCTAATTAAACTTCTACTGTACCCTCAAATCGACCCAGATCCGATTATTAAGATGGCAATTTTATTTCCCTGCTCCAACCGACAATGATATATGGGAAAAACGCTTGGATATTTAAGGACTTTTTCAAGGTGGTTGAAAACGATAAGTGGTGTATGAGTTTGCAACACCTCTTATGTGTGATAGAACATCTTATTGTGCAGTGTTGATACTTAAGGCAGATAGAGTGAGGAAATCGCCAACATTTTGAACATATACCGTCTTAGATACATCTAACAAACTATTTCACTTTCTGCTCCGAAAGGTGTTCAGTAATCTGAGTCATGTCAGGAGATGTGTACTTCTTGTTGTTCATAAAAATCAGTGGTTGGGAACGAAAAGCTTTTTAAAGCTGGTCATTTATTTTTCTGTTCAGGCTACGTCATTTTTGAATATGGTTTTCATCAAGAACACACATAAACTCACTAGTAATCAGCCTCAAGTTAGATTTTCCAGGTTCTATCAGAAAGTTGTTATTAGTGGAAACAAGATAGGTAGTAACAATTGTATTATTTGGTATTAAAAAATGAGTATACTGTGCAGCAGTTCGTTCTGTTCTAAATTACGTCTGCGATACGTGTCCTTTAAAGGTAGAGGATACTCGTAAATTTGTGGCCCTGTATGTGATTGTTATTGAAATATGCATATCGTCAATCCTCGTATAAAATTCTCGACTTAACTCGCGTTAGTGAATAACGGAATTAAATAAGTGAAATACGTGAATGGATTTTCGGATACATGTATTTTGTAGACTGATTGATCTGGATAGACAATCAGAGGGAGGAATTAAAGAGAAGAGAGCGAGGCGAAATGACGCGCGTTGGAGAAGGCGTGTAAGCCAACTCAATTTAGCCAAGCGTGAATCGATATTTCTAGTCGGATAGAAATAAGTAATAGACATGTGATGAGTAAGATAAGGAATGCACATACATACCCTTATATAAAAACAGTCAAGGTTGATAAGCGAATAACTAATCAGGTCAAAATGTGACTCAAGAAGAATGAATAGATTGGCCTGTTCGGAAGCTAGAATAAGCTGTGTGGGCTCATTTTGTATGAGTATTCATACTTTTCAGAGTTGAGTTCAACTAGTTCTCTACTGATTGTTCTATCTTCATTAATCTAAAACTTATCCTCAATATTCAGTATTATTCACTTAGAAGGTAGGTTTTTGAGGAGTAAACAGTAATATGAGATGATCACATTGTATCACTGAAAGATGAAATATGTACTAGTGCACGATATCCATAATTATTAATTCCTCTTCTTTAACATATGGATTCGTACTAGGAATATTTTCCACTTCTCTAAAAATCTTAAAATAGTTTTAAACCTGTGATAGGCGCTGAATAACTAATTAATTTTCGTTTCTATCATTATTACGGGAGTTAAGATAGATTTTTTATTTTGTAGTTAAATTCGCGGAATGATCATAGTTAAAAAAACACTAAAAACCAGAAAGCACTGAGCAGCTGTTTCGTAATCACTTAAGTTCAACTTAATCCGTGCTGGGTAGAGATAGGTATCTACCTCAGACTACGGATGAATGGATCGTTTGAAGTTAGACAATAATGCCGTTGGATGCCGGCTCAGAATAGTCTAGAGGTCAAGTGTTCATATGCGAGACCGAACGTCCTGGGTTTGAGTCCCACATACGGGGTCGTGGATGCTCACTACTGAGAAGTCCCATACTAGGATGAAACGGCCATCTGATGTTTTCAGGTTTTTAATGGTGGTCTAGCTTGGGTCGCCTCATGTATTCAACAATTAAAATTACTGCGATCTCCACAAACCCTGTTCTGATCATAATCTTGTATTTGCTTAGACTTATTCGATATATTCAGAATTCCATTTTATTCAGCAGTAATAGTAATGGTAATAGTACCGGTTAATCGCTGACTAAGAAAATGCTGTTTTATTGATAAGATCGAATGTCACGGAATGAGGAGAGATAGTTATAATTAAAACTAATCAGCATTATTATGAATACTGTTGGTTTGCTTTATTTTTTTTCAATTTCTCATAGATAATTACGAAGTTTGTGAAGGCAAACGCACTGAGTTCATCAATAGTACAGGGATGACACGTACTTATTCATATTTCCTATGTCCTGATAATCCAAATCAACCATTCGAAAAATATTGTTGCTGGGATTCAACAACTGGTATGGGTGCATGTTGTTCGTATGATGTAAAAATGTATGTCAATATTTTAAGAAATAATGAATATAAATATTATTACTACTATTTGTCAATATATTTTAATAACAATAACAATAATGATAATAATATAATATAATTTATCCTCATGAAATTGAATTCTTCCCATGGAGCATTATTAATATTTTATTGTAGAATAGTTGTGACTTGTGCTTTTTTAGTATACCATGAAGATGTTGTGGATGCCTTCACAACAACAAGAGTATAAAACCATAATTTTTCACTGTCCTCGAACATTTGTTATTTTCTATGTAAATACTTGATTAAATATATTCAAGTTATCCAACATACGATTTTGCACAAATGCGTATCAATACAAGTTTTTACTTACTTACTTACGCCTGTTACTCCCAATGGAGCATAGGCCGCCGACCAGCATTCTCCAACCCACTCTGTCCTGGGCCTTCTTTTCTAGTTCCATCCAATTCTTGTTCATTTTTCTCATATCTATCTCCATTTCCCGGCGTAATGTATTCTTTGGTCTTCCTCTCCTCCTTCGACCTTGAGGATTCCATATGAGGGCTTGTCTTGTGACGCAGTTGGGTGCTTTCCTCAATGTGTGTCCTATCCACTTCCAGCGTTTCTTCCTGATTTCTTCCTCCACTGGGATCTGATTTGTTCTCTCCCACAGTAGGTTGTTGCTTATAGTGTCCGGCCAGCGGATCTGAAGTATTTTGCGTAGACAACTGTTAATAAACACCTGTATCTTTTGGACGATGGATTTCGTAGTTTCCCAGGTTTCCGCCCCATACAGTAGAACTGTCTTGACATTTGTATTGAAAATTCTGACTTTGGTGTTGGTTGCTAATTGTTTTGAGTTCCAGATATTCTTCAGTTGTAAATATGCTGCTCTTGCTTTGCCAATCCGTGCCTTCATATCTGCATCAGATCCACCGTGTTCATCGATGATACTGCCCAAATATGTAAAGGTTTTTACATCTTCCAAAGCTTCTCCGTCAATTGTGATTGGATTGGTGCATGCTGTGTTGTATCGAAGAATCTTGCTTTTCCCTTTGTGTATATTGAGACCTATTGCTGCTGAGGCTGCAGCTACACTGGTTGTCTTCTCCTGCATTTGTTGTTGCGTATGCGATAGAAGAGCCAGATCATCTGCGAAGTCTAGATCATCCAATTGCATCCTAGCTATCCACTGTATCCCGTGCTTCCCTTCAGATGTTGATGTCTTCATGATCCAGTCGATCACCAAGAGAAAGAGAAAGGGCGAGAGTAAGCAACCTTGCCTGACACCAGTCTTTAATTCGAACGACTTTGTCAACTGTCCTCCATGCACGATTTTGCAGTTTAATCCATCGTAGGAATTCCCTATGATATTGACTATCTTCTGAGGCACGCCGTAGTGTCGAAGAAGCTTCCATAGGGTTGTTCTGTCCACGCTATCAAATGCTTTTTCGTAGTCGATGAAGTTGATATAGAGTGATGAATTCCATTCAATTGATTGTTCCACAATGATCCGTAGAGTTGCGATTTGGTCTGTGCACGATCTATCCTTACGGAATCCTGCCTGTTGGTCTCGAAGTTGGGCGTCTACGGAGTCCTTCATCCTGTTTAACAATACCCTGTTGAAGACTTTTCCTGGTATTGAAAGAAGAGTGATTCCCCTGTAGTTGTCACAGTTGCTGAGATCGCCTTTCTTTGGTATTTTGACTAGGAGTCCTTCTTTCCAGTCTTTTGGTACCTGTTCCTCATCCCAGATCTTTCTGAAGAGAATGTGGAGTATCCTTGCAGTTGCCGCTACGTCTGCTTTCAGTGCCTCTGTTGGAATGCTGTCTAGTCCTGCTGCTTTGCCACTCTTGATTTGTCTGATAGCCATGCTGATCTCTTCAATTGTCGGTGCGCCAACATCAATTGGGAGGTCCGTGAGTGCTGCTTCGATGTTGGGTGGGTTCAGTGGGGCTGGTCGATTCAAGAGTTCTTTGAATTGTTCTACCCACCTGTTTCGTTGTTCTTCAATGTTGGTGATTATCTTGCCTTCCTTGCTTTTCACTGGTCGTTCTGGTTTACGGTAATTTCCAGAGAGTTTCTTTGTTGTTTCATACAGTTGTCTCATGTTTCCTTCTCTGGCAGCCTTTTCCGCCGTCAATGCCAAATCCTCCACATATTTACGTTTGTCAGTTCTGATGCTCCTTTTCACTTGCTTGTTTACTTCTGTGTATTCAGCCTGTGCCTTGACTTTTTCTGCTCTTGTTCGACTGGTATTGATTGCTGCTTTCTTGTTCCTCCTTTCTTGAATCTTATCCAGTGTATCGACCGTGATCCAATCCTTGTGATGGTGCTTCTTTTGGCCCAGAACCTCATGACATGTTGAAGTGATTGCTTCTTTTATCTCTTTCCAGTTGCTCTCCATAGTAGTTCCTTCTCCATTGAGTAGATCATGAAAGGCTTGGAACTTATTGCTGAGGGTTATCTTGAATTTATTGAGTTTGTCATTATCCCGAAGAAGAGCCGTATTAAATTTTTGTGATATTGTCCGCCCCGTTGTCCAGTGCCTCTTGAGTTTCAATTTCATCTTGGCGACCAGCAAGTGATGATCTGATGCTATATCAGCTCCTCTCTTTGTTCTCACGTCCTCCATCGTCCTCCTGAACTTTTTGTTGATGCAGATATGGTCGATTTGGTTCTGTGTGGTGTGATCCGGTGAAGTCCATGTGGTTTTGTGTATGCGTTTATGTGGGAATATAGTCCCACCTATGACCAGTTTATTGAAGGCACATAGATTTGCAAATCTCTCACCATTTTCGTTCCTTTCTCCCAGTCCGTGTCGTCCCATGATATCTTCATATCCGGTGTTGTCAATTCCAACCTTGGCATTTAGGTCTGCCATCAGAATAGTCAGGTCCTTTGTTTGGCACTTCTCGACGATTGACTGCAGCCTATCGTAGAATTGATCTTTAGCATCTTCATTGTATTCGTTGGTAGGCGCGTAGCATTGGATGACGTTCATTGTAATGCCCTCTTTCTTTGTTTTGAAGGAGGCTTTGATGATCCTTGGTCCATGAGATTCCCATCCTATAAGTGCATTTTGTGCTTGTTTGGACAGCATCAATGCAACTCCTTGTGTATGTGGAGCATTTTCTTGTTCATGTCCGGAGTATAACGGCAGCTCCCCTGAAGCTAGTCGTTGTTGTCCAACCTGCGTCCAATGTGTTTCACTGATCCCAAGCACCTCTAAATTGTATCTCCTCATTTCTGCAGCAATTTGGAAAACTCTCCCAGTCTCCCACATTGTGCGAGCATTCCATGTACCTAAGTAAATGGTTGCTCTGGTTGTCAGAAAGGGCATCGGCCTCGTGACTTCCGAAGAAACTCGGCTTTCATCATGAGGCGTCATAATTCTTCTAAACGAAGACCTCCTGACTCCCAAGGCAGAGTTTAAATGATTTGAATAATTTTTTCTGGTTAGCGTTTTTTTAGCGAGTTAGTTTTCTACGGGATGGGGTCGCTAACCCCATGCCCAACCCTCCTCCTTTATCCGGGCTTGGGACCGGCAGTAGCCCCCGGAAAGGGACTCCAGGCGGAGTTACAAGTTTTTACACTTCATAATAATAATGATAATATGTGAAGAAATTAACAAGAGGGCATTACTCTATTTATTTAAACCTGTTGCTCCTTATAGAGCACAGGCCGCCAACCAGGAATCTTCAACTAGCTCTATTTTGGGTTTTTCTTTCTATTTGTTGCCAAGTTCTGTTCATCCTTTTGATTTATGTGTTTCTTGATCTGTCTTTTCCTTCTAACTTGAGGTTTCGAAGTTAGGACTTGCTTTGTAATGCAGTTCGATCATATCCGTAGAGTGCGTTCTATCCTATCCAAATCCAGCCTCTTTTCTTTATTTTTTCTTCAACTGGAAGCTGGTTTGTTCTTTACTTCAATCGATTATTGCTGATGGTTTCTGGCTAATGGATTTGGAGTATCTCACGTAGACAGCTGTTTATAAATGCCTGTGGCTTTTTGATAATGGTTGTAGTAGTTCTCTAAGTTTCAGCTCCTTACAATAGAACTGATTTAGTGTTAGTGTTGAGTATTCTGGTTTTGTGTGAGTTGTTTTGAGTTCCAGATATTTTTCCGTTTTTGGAATTCCGCTACATCTATTGCACTGATAGACTCTCGTAAATTTATCCTATCAGGCTCTGAACACTATGAAGAGCGAAAATAAATCAGATATAGGCTAACCAAAAGTCTATGGAGTGATCACAAACAGTGGTAAGCAACGAAAGCAAAAAAGATGGAAAAGGCAACGGCTATAGCTAATATAAGACAGCTTTTCAGACTAATAAAAGAAACCGGAATTACGAATTCAAGTGTGAGACAATCTCGGAAAAAGACGACACTCTTGTCTGCTCTCAGCCCAGACGTTTAGAATGACGAGCGGAACACTTTAAGAAGCAATTCAGCTGATCTACGGCTACCCACCATATCCAAACAGCCTGAACATTGGAGTAGCCCCCCCCCACTTCAATTGATGTTCAAAAACATATAGCTAATCTGAAACAAGGAAGAGCAGCTGGTCCAAATGGATCAACTTCAGATCCCTCTCGAAATGCCCTCACACGACCACGCGTATGCAGCCTCTGACATGGAAGTCCTACTCACTGCCTTCTCGTGGCGGGGGTGTTACTTACGAAAATGAAAGGACGGAAAGCGAATGTCCGGCGCTTTAACCGGATCCCAAACCAATGGTACACATGGGCCCCAGTATCCTGAGGGAACAAATGGAGTTTGAACCGATTGTTGGTCACCGGCTACCATGGGACTGCATCTCCTCACGACGCTCCACTGCCTTGTGGATCAGACCTTTGGGTCAAAGGCTTGGGGTGTGACCCCCTAAGAAAACCACATGCTTCGGTTTGGGAACCCGGGCAGTATCACAGCCCACACACATATCAAATGAGATATGTGTGGCGCATATGCATTTGGTGCCTACTTGTACCAATATCTATGTTTTCAAATAAATAAATAAATAATCTTCTCACTATCCAGAGTGAGTACAGGATTAGAATCCTGCCAGTCTTGTAGAACTACTTTGCACTTCGAAGGTGCAAAGCATATACCGTACCTACGGACATTGATTGCCAACTGATTAAGTGCGGATTGCATAGCTTGGGCATTATCGCACAGTAAGACAATGTCATCCGCATACTGTCGCTTTACTTAGCTCCTTGTTTTTACACTTATCTTCACTTTGTACTTTTTTTCTCAATCGTTGAGAAAATGGTATTTAGAACAGTGTCAAGAGGTGCATACTCCTAATTGAGGTTCAATTATCGTAAGCTATGATTACTTACTATTCGATGATAGATCACAGTAGATTTACTCACTTTTGTTTATCTACCTCTAAATCTTGTGTTTTACTACTCTTTCATACATTTTTATGCCTTAACTTTATCTATTTCCTTGGAACTGTATTCTCAATATGCTAGATCTTACGTTGTTTGTAACTAAAATAACTGACAACTGCCTAAAGATATTTCTGTAGACAAGATTGTGTTTTTTTCGCTACTATAGTTTGCAAGTTTTCATACAATAAAACCTGAAATGGTTATTTGATTATCCAGGAGTATTTTTTAGGACGATGTTCTAAGTATGAGATTATTCTACGTTCACTGCAGCGCATAACATTGGGTTGAATTATGTATGCTGTTACATATAGTGCAAATTATGCCTCTTATCCAGTGGCCAATTCATCACACTAGTCGTTTACTTTATATGTTTGCGTATGTATTGGTGTACCGTCGAGCTATGTGGCTAATTTAATTACTTTTTAAAATGGAAAATATTTCCATTTACATCTTTATATATGTGTATCTTTAGGTATTCACATTCTGGCAGGTAAATTATTACTTTTCATCATTTCTATCACTGTTATTGTTATTATTATTTGTTTGTTTTTAAATCTCTCCTAATCTGTTTTCACAAATGCACTGATTGTTTATCACTTCATATGAATGAAATGAATATGGTCTGTTTCCGTTTTCGTTTTCTTTTTTAAATTTCTGATTACTTCATTGAGCATGTTGTCATGAATCGTTTTCTTATCAAAGTCAAAATAATCATTTGTCGTTTAGAAATATGATTCACCTGGATTAATTTCAATCCAACAATTTATGTTATTATTTTATCGAAAGAGAATATATTTGCATTTCTGCTAAACATAATCTTATTACCATTATTAATTTATGAATAAAAATGGGTAGATAAAAAAATTCATAGAGATGAATTGATGTATGAATATTAATATGGGTTGAACTAGTCGACACTTTTTTAGTTATTTGCATGATCCTTGCTCTGGATGTGTGTGCATATGTTATTTTATTAATTAATATCGCTCTATTGATGATAATCGTTGTTGTGTAATGAATAAATTAGACCATTTTTCTCCTCGTCATCAGTTATCTTTGTTGTTTTACTCTGTGGTTGATTCTTTCTTTTTTAAGTTTATCGTCTTACACTTGTGAAAACTTGTTGCTTGTTTAATAGAGACAAACGCAAAATGTTTTTTCTTTCTTTATCTTAATAATAGTAATGAAACATACCAAATATAAATATCTTTCAGTTATTTTACATTGTGGATTTGTTTTCTGATTGCTGTTTTTTTATCGTATTATCCACTATATTTGACTGATATGATAATAAATCTTCATTAATTTTGCTCTTAGATTACCTGACCTACTATATCTAATAACAAGTCTGTCTTGTCTCATCATAAAGACAAATTTTTGAAAATCAGTTGTCAATTAATAGGTGCATCGTTATGTTGTGGCTTACTTGCTATTGAAGCATTTGGCTTTCAGTGAGTAAGTTTTAGGTTTACTCATTACTGTTTTCCCTATTAAGTCTTGGGATCCAGGTAGTACCATTGGCTGTCATACAAACAATGTAGCTTAAGGCCATGCACAATAGGTTGTACTTAGTAAATGGGGTACATTCTTTATTATGGCTTCTCATAGAAATCGCCTAATATAGAACTTTGAAGGGTCCATTGTAGTCATATTAAGCTTTCATATACTGGATTAATGCCAAGTAGATGATGTTTCCGGCCTCAGCTAAAATGTACACTCTTGCGTACCAGTTGTCATAATTTTCGTGTTCTCAGTTTGCGTTTGTTGAAAACTGGTCAACGCAACAGTATTCCTACCCAGACTGCTGAGTAGTATAGGTTGTTAATTAGCTTTAATCTGATGTGTCAGCTGAAAAATGGTATAGACAGATAGTCTGGGTAAAAAGTCACTGAAAGTTTAAACATTTTAGATTTATTGTCACTGGTCGGTGATAAACTTATCTTTCAAAATAACCATTTTCCCTCTGAAATGTTAAATATATAAATACTTTATGGCACATTCACAATCGGTTATCAATTTAAGTAAATCACTACACTAATTGTTATCTTACATTTGACCTAGAAACTCTTTCCTAAATGTTAACTTAAATAAACATTAGTATTTTAATCATATTAATGTTTTGTATTGTTGTCTTTCTGGCTGTTTGCTCTCTTCTTGTTCTCATTGAACTAACATACAATTGACTTTCATGTATATTCATAATGACAATACAGAATAGATATTTACTTCTTTCTAATTATCATAATAATAATAATACATTAGTTTATTAATGATTCATTCCAGCTTATAACATAGATATTTCTTTTCCTTAACATTATTCAATGTGCCTGGTTGAAATAGCTCTCTTTCTCTACAAAAAGAATTATTAACCTTCCTTCTATTAATATTTGGATAATCATTGAAAAAAGAAATTTCAATAGAAATATAAGGTGAATCTTCTTTTTTCCTTGATGCACTCAGTTAATTTTTTACTCATCAGTGAAATGTGATCACTAAAACAATACTGTTTTTCTTTTTAGCATATATACAAGGTATCTTTACTGTTATTATTGTTATATGGAATACACATGATAATAATCCATATGAATAGTGAAATTTATCTTGACCTATTTCTCTATTAAGCATTTATAATTATTTTTAGTTGAATTAAATTAGGTCAATTCAGTAATAGTAAATTTTTATCATTGATATTTGTTGGTTTATTGAACAAGTCATTGAATATATGAACGAAGGACAATTTGCCACCAAAAAAGCTTCTATTTTTGTCATTCAGCAGTATCAACATTTAACGCTTCAGAAAATAATGAAGTATTCATTTGATGAATTGTAATAATAATGGTATTGGTACTAATGTCGTTAAAATATTTTACAGTAAAACAAAAATAAATATTAATATAGACTAAAATAGTGTGCGTTCAATTCAATAAAATGGTTCAACCATAATGGTAAGTGTCTGCTTGATCCACTCAAAGAAAGCTAATGAAAGGACCTTCATGGTATTAACACTAAAGTATTAACTACTATTAAAAGGAAAGCCCTTGAAGTTCATGAAAAGATAATCAGTTCCTCGTGCCGCTTTTTTCTACTTGTTAAGGCTTAGGTTTTTAAGACTTATATATCCTCACTTATAATTGGTTTGCAGGACTTCATCAAAGCTATGGTGAGTATCTCTAATAATCACTGACCATATTTTCAACTATTAGATCACTAATATTTCTCTCCTGTTTAATCAGACACGATAATATATAAGAACCCTCTAAGAAAGGATGCTTAGTGTAAAATATGTTTCATGGGAGTAGTGTCTGCGAAAAGTGGGAGACTACTAAAACATCATGTGAAACTAATTTTAGAAAGATTTCAATTAATTACATTATTTTACTGAAGTCCAAAGGCTTACTTGTAAAAATATGAGAGCGATTGTTTCATGAAATTCAACTAATTATTACCTTACAACTTTCTCTTTTAAAAAATAAATACTAATTCATTTAAACTATTCAGCCTAATGATATATAGGCACCACTATTATATATTTGTGTATGCGTAATATTTAGATTTAATGTTTGTAATTTGCAATTATCACCGGAGATACTGACTCCAACATGTCTGTTCCTGTAAGAGATACATACATTTTTGTTTGTTTGACTGAATTTCAAAAACAAATTGTTGTGGGTTGCTTTTTATTGATTTTCATATATATATATATATATATATATATATATATATATATATATATATATATAATCAGTTGGTCGATTTTGTAAGATACACAATCAAAGGTTCAAATCCATTGTTTATCAGTCAAAATTACCTTCCTGCCTATTTGTAGACGGAGATATATCTTGGGTCGTCTTTATTAACTTAGGAATTTCAGACTTACACACACACACATTTACTAGACTGTACTTCTCTGTTTGTTTATTTACAATAGATGGTTAATAATTATAAGCTGCTTTTAGTACGCACGACAAATGCAAACTAGAATTTATCATGAGTTTAAGTGATCTGTTGAGTTTAGGTAAATCTTTGAATCTCTTGAAGAAACATAGAAAGAAATCGAACACTTAAAACTTAACGCTAAGGCTGTAGTTATGTAGACCATTATTGAATATTACTGAGAGTAATTTCTAAGTAATATATATATTCCATAATATACATTTTGATTCATTTCCTACTATAATATTATTAGCTTGCTTGTATTAAGAGTATTGTATAGGCTATTTCAGTGTACATAGGTTAAAAAATATGATAGAAATTCTGAAACTTATTGTTTATCTAAAGAAATTGTAATGATTTCATCTGGTAAAATTTAGTTACATTATATATTGTGTTTGGCTTTTGGCTGGGTGACACTTTCAACTTTTTATCTGTAGTCCATAAAATAACGTTTGTTTTTTCAGAAAATATTTATTTCTCTTTCTGTTATTTTTCACTGTAATAGGTTGGTTCGCTCCATTGTTATCCTTGTAATTTCTATTAAACAACGTATATGTTGACAATACAATTATTCTTAACTTATCAACATATTTAATATATTCTGATCTTATTAGCGATGTTAATCAACTATTACTAATGATTCAGTTTAACTGTTATTCTGAGTTACTTTTAAAAGAAAAATACTAGTTTTATGTAATCATTGTGTTTGGTTTTTCTTAAAATTTAATTAGTTTCTCTTCTAAATGTTTAGTTGTAAAACGTCTTTCCCAAAAGAAGTGGTAATATGTAAACTAGGGTTTGTAACAAAATATAGTATAATTGTATTCACAAACTCAGTAGATAAATACAAATTCAAATAAGGTACTTAAATTAGTTCTTAATTAACTGTTTCCTTCAATTTCTTCATAACAAATGATTTCCGGGCATCTATTGTTTATTTGATTGTGTTGTTTTCTCTCCAATAAGTAGATGTGTTTCTTTCGACAAAAAAAGAGTTGTTGATGTGTCTCACATTGTTTAACTAACTAATTAACTTTTAAACTGCATCTTCATTTTCGTTGTATTCATTTTTGTAATTCAAAGTCATGCATGCTTTGTTATGAATCGAATTTTTAAACAAACATCACACCATCTCTCAGTTTATACTACATCCGTATGTTGTGATTTAATTTTTTGCATTTTAGAGGAGTTGTCGTTGGTACACTACTTGGAACTATGTTATTGGTTATAACACTCGGCTCGATTATATATTGCTGTTTTCGTTGTAAACGTCAAAGAGAGAGAGAATCACTGAATGTTCCAAGTGCACAGCTTACATCACCTCTGGATCCAGTGTACAAACCGGTAAGCAAATCCAGAAGTTTGTCCGAGTCTAGTGACACTTCGACTGTAGAGAATCAGCTTTTGAATTCTGGGGTAAGGTGTTTTTCGTATTTGTGACGTAAGAGATTTAAGCATATGGTGTGCTGTGTGTGTGTGTGTGTGTGGTTATACGCACAAAATACCCCTTGGCTAACAGTTGTCCTTTTAAAAATTTGAGTTTTCTGTTGACACCTTTCCTATTTTTTGTTTAGTTTACTACTTTAGTCAACTATATTTTATTGTGATCGACACTTATATATATTCATTGACTTAGGAACCTTACTAGAAATATAACTTATAACTTCAGAATATCCGATAAAAATCATAAATAAAATGTTTTTTATCTTGTCAGCTATTTTGTGTTGTGCAGCACTCCACAACAATCTAACTGCGAGATATTCGACTTCAACTTTTCATCTAAGATAGGCAGTGATCAACGTAAAGCGTGTAGTATCTAATCTTGATGTTCGATTCTTCAATGAGTGATTTAGTTTTCTCTTATGAATTAGTTACGTTACTTGTTAGATTTGCTACAATCTCCTTTTGATTAATTCCAAACGAATTGATCTTACTGAACGAGGTTTTCAAACAAACGAAATAAAATGTCAAACTATTCTTCGTCTAATAACTAAGCATAATATGCACTGAATGGAGTAATAATAGTAAACTTTTTAAGAGCTGTTGGGCAGCAGATTGAAAACACACTTTTATAGTTTCTGTTTACGCACTAAATTACTCATAGATTTTAAGAACAGACCAATTAGTTGTTCTGTAGTCTTCATTTCCTATAATAGCTAGGAGTGAATTTCACTTAGATTTAATTGTTTTCTGAGGTGTTCTGTGTTGTTGCTATTTTTATATTCCATTTTCTGTTGTATCTGTCTATCGTTAATACTTCCTTTACATCAGTTAACCACTATAACGATCTTTTTTATGTTAAATATGGGTGATTTAATCAACTTTACACTTTAGATTTTGTAACATCAAAAAATTGTCGCAGTGATCCATGTAGATTCTTATGTTTTAACTTGGTATTTTTAGTAAAACATAGTGGATGTCTCTTTATATACTTTATTGAAGAGCTTTGCTTTAATTTATTAGAACCAATATCCTGCAGTCAACCCGACTTCATCTGTTCCTCCTGGTTATCCTGTTTATCCATATCCTCCAAACGGACAATACGTTGGTTATCCACAAAATGTTAATGTCCCTTTTACACCTGTGCCACAAGCAATTCCAACAAACATGACCGGAGAAACTGGATCTAGTTGGAGAGTAGATACTAATGTGCCCTATCCAACCACTCGACCAGATTTCCCACCCCCTCCCTATCCAGGAGCTCCAATTTCAAATGCTGAAGGAGTTCATGCTAGCGCTCTAAGGTATATTTGGTCACTGTAATCATTATAAATCTTTATACTAACAAAATCAAGTTTTTTTTAAGGCAAAAAAGTCTTGTTTTATCATTATATGAAATCCATCTAAGGGGAGAATTCTGAGAACGAAATACTCACATTTATATGCTAGTAAATAAAAACTCTTAATCAACCAAGTCATTTATATATATATATATATATATATATAACGAAAATAAAATCTTCACTTATAGTCGAAATATTTTTTAGTTACTTTAGTATAACCAATAATGAATGAATATTGACAGTGTGGCTCAATTCATTGCTTGTTTGTAAAAACCTTCATTCATGTTTCATCAGGAAGAGTGAATTCATTCATTTCTAAATCATTTTCATCATATTTGTTTCTTTTGATTGATTTAATTTTTCCCATATTTTCTAGTTCAACATGGATGACAAAGAGTTGAATTATTTCCCAAATTCCTATCATTGAAAGGTGTTGTTATCGGTAACATATGAAAGATGAGAAGATTCAGTCCCACTGTTGTTATTATTATTACTAATATAGATGGTATTCAAAAATTTTTGTCGATCAATTAATTGTTATATGTATATTTTTCCCGTTAATTATGTTTATTTCTCAAGTTTTTCCACGTTTAAAGTTGTCTTGTTTAAAATTGTTTTGTTTTCTTACTTCCATTTTCTGATGAATTCTTTTTAGTTGTTGTCTTTGAATTTTAAGCATTTTGAACACATTTATTTTGTGTGTGATTTATTTATCTCATTTTTGTTGTGTTTGTTTTATACAATAAATCATTACTTTCCTTGTTCTCACTATATATATATATCAGTATATCTTCCCATATGAGTTCTATCTAATCATTCAGCTATTTTTTTCTCTATTGTAATAGAGTCTGATGATTAGTTTGTTAATGAAAACATGCTAACAGTTTCTTCCCTTCACGTACACTCAATTTTTTCGTTACGTTTACAAATAGTTCAATAAATTGGAAATTAATTAACAATTACACTATGTATTTGAGTCTGCTATATGATATCTAAAATAATATTGTTGGACAATCAAAATTTATTATCATTAATTTGTTTTTATTTTTTCTATAAATACAAACTTGTTATTTGTTGAATTACTTAATGAGTTTATCACTAATACGTTCAAATATTGTTTTTTTTGTGGTGTTCTTTCCTTTCGTTTTTCTTCTTGTTTTTATAATTTCTCCAAATATTCATTTATATTACATTTATTAATATAAACTTTTACTGTCACTCTACCACTTTAACTATTACTATCCTATTTATTACTAAATAAATTTTATTATATTTTTATTCAGTTAGTTGTGTTCACTTATTTCTGTCCAGCAAATGAAAAGATTTACATTGAACAACTCAGAACGAAAAGAAAATCTTTGCACAATTATTAAAAGCTTATAATCAGTTATTCATTATTTTTTTTAATTTGTATTTTTTGCTTTATTAAGTTTTATTAAGTAATACGTTACAAAAAGAACCCTTTTTTCTCTTCATTTTAATATTTAAGTGGGTTGGTTACATTGTATATTTGCAAGTTTCCGTGAATCATATGAATCAGTAAACCGATAGTCTTCCCACAAACATCTCAGTTCATTGATTATCAACGTTATTTTTGTAATTTATCTTGCATCTTGAACTTTTCATCCTTGATATGTGTCCGTCCTCACATCATATTCATTACTGCAGAAATAACCCATAAATAATCTCGGAATATACAATCAGGTTTTTAATTAATTAGTATTCTCTCCTTTGAAATATAGATTTCAATAAGACATAAAATATTATCTGATTACTGAAAGACTGATATTTACTGTAACTTGGTCACTACAAAAATTAAAGTCGCATCTCATTGGGCACCTTACGTTGACCATATATCTGATTATGTCATAGGTGATGTATATGATGTAAAAGTGATCACTGTACAATAATATTTGTGGAGACAACTTCCTCCTGTGAGGATATTTTAAAGTGGTTGAATGTTTGTTATTAATGCTATCTTGTACGAACTACGTAACTTTATGCTCCACTAATTCATTTCCAGAAAATGGGTCTTCAAGTAAGGAAATAAATAAGTAACAACTGATCCATTACGCTATTAATGTAAATATTAAATGAGAAAAAGAATGTAGCTTACCACGTATTTGCTAGTATTGAGCACCGGTGCCAGGATGTTTGGAATGCGTTTCTAACCCTCCAAATACAAATTGTTGCTTCAGGACTGGCCTGCATCAACACATAAACTAAGGAAGTGATCGAGCTAGTCGACAGATTCACTTCTGTTGCAAGTCTTATCAGTCTGAATGTGTTGGCGCCTGATGAAATATCTACACGGATTCAGAAAGCTCGTTTGTCTTTTGCCAACTTACGTGATCTATGGCATAGGTAAGCTATCCGTTTATTAATTAAAGGACGAGTGTATTGCGCAGCAGTTCGTTCTGTTCTAATTTACGTCTGCGATACGTGTCCTTTAAAGGTAGAGGATACTCGTAAATTTGTGGCCCTGTATGTGATTGTTATTGAAATATGCATATCGTCAATCCTCGTATAAAATTCTCGACTTAACTCGCGTTAGTGAATAACGGAATTAAATAAGTGAAATACGTGAATGGATTTTCGGATACATGTATTTTGTAGACTGATTGATCTGGATAGACAATCAGAGGGAGGAATTAAAGAGAAGAGAGCGAGGCGAAATGACGCGCGTTGGAGAAGGCGTGTAAGCCAACTCAATTTAGCCAAGCGTGAATCGATATTTCTAGTCGGATAGAAATAAGTAATAGACATGTGATGAGTACGATAAGGAATGCACATACATACCCTTATATAAAAACAGTCAAGGTTGATAAGCGAATAACTAATCAGGTCAAAATGTGACTCAAGAAGAATGAATAGATTGGCCTGTTCGGAAGCTAGAATAAGCTGTGTGGGCTCATTTTGTATGAGTATTCATACTTTTCAGAGTTGAGTTCAACTAGTTCTCTACTGATTGTTCTATCTTCATTAATCTAAAACTTATCCTCAATATTCAGTATTATTCACTTAGAAGGTAGGTTTTTGAGGAGTAAACAGTAATATGAGATGATCACATTGTATCACTGAAAGATGAAATATGTACTAGTGCACGATATCCATAATTATTAATTCCTCTTCTTTAACATATGGATTCGTACTAGGAATATTTTCCACTTCTCTAAAAATCTTAAAATAGTTTTAAACCTGTGATAGGCGCTGAATAACTAATTAATTTTCGTTTCTATCATTATTACGGGAGTTAAGATAGATTTTTTATTTTGTAGTTGAATTCGCGGAATGATCATAGTTAAAAAAACACTAAAAACCAGAAAGCACTGAGCAGCTGTTTCGTAATCACTTAAGTTCAACTTAATAATTGTGAATAAACTGAACATTGGGCGGATTGTTTCTAGTAAATGTAATGATTTATTCGTAATATTTCAATAAGTAGAAAACAATTCCTGACTTTTCGTAACGAAGTGTAATTCACTTCTTCAGAGAATAAACAAATAACAGAATTAAATAGTACTACGCCGTGAAACGTTAGAAATACGGTTGTCTAGTTATTGATTTACAACAAATCATTATTTTTTATTAGAATAAACTTATGTTACTCTACTAAATAATTTTTACCAACAATAACGTAGAAATAAAGCATTCATGCACTAATAATTAAGAAAACAGTATATGACCTAATAAAGAGTCTTGTGATATTTAGTAAGTATTTCGATTTTATGAATGATTATAGAACTTTATTTGATAAGAATAATTATTCATCATTATGTGGCACGACTTTACTCGAAACTTCTTGAGTGGTGTGTAGTTTTACCGAGCATTTGTAGTTCTTATGGTTATCTTTGTTAACAAAGTAACGTTTATATCTTCAGTTACCGATAACAAAGTTGCATTACAATTTAGGTAACAGTTTTCCAAATATTCATCTTCAATCTTGTCTTGTTTTCAGTTCAGTTATGATATCACGTAGTTGAAGATGGTCTCCAAAAAATCAAAGATATAGGTTGATACTCGTAAACAAGGTCTACTCGTAACTTTAATGAAACCTACACTCTATGTGGGATTCGAAACAGTGCCTCCCAACTTCACAGTCTGAGATGTCATCACTGAGATATTTTGATGACCATTAACCTCCAGTAGAACTGGGATATTTGATCGATGTCTGAGTAGTAACTAATGTCAATTATTGTACAGCCCATTAATTTTGGTTCACTTCTATTAATGTAGTTGCACTTTTGCCACAAGTTGTAACGAATAGGCGTCGTGTGCCCTCTGTTTTGTTGTTAAATGTTTACATACAATCAAGGAAAAACCGGAGACCTGGGTTTTACGTTAGTCAACGCATTGTCACGTCTGAACATAAAAGTGACTTGAACACACAGATAGCAATGGCACATCTTTGCATAAAGTCGATTGTATCCAAGTTGCCTTAGTCTTACTATTCGTTACTACCCAACATTTAATTAAAGCATCAATAAACGCTTTTCGCAATGGATCCAAACTACTTATTCAGATTGTATAAAAAATTGTGCAGTTTTTAAATTTCATCAAAATACGTTAATTTTAGAAGTACCGTGTGTGGGCTAATGAGTTGTTAAGAAATAATCATTTTTCATCATTTATATTTGCACATTGTATTCATTCTTCCCATTTCTTCCCTGAGTAACCCAATATCACTATAGGTTACTCCCGTGATTAGATTAGTTAAACGAATCAAGCGCTATGAATTTTTTAATACTTATACTCTGGCTTCAAACTGATGGGAGATATTTTATTAGCCATTTAGTTAATAGGGAGAATATCTATGATTTTACTTGATTATTAGATGGAGAAAAACAACAATCTTGAGGAACTCATCTTTCAGTGTTTCAACCTACATTGTTCAATATATGAAGCAGATTAGTTAAAAATGAGTTGTTGATGCCTAATAACAACATGATGATTTCAAATACTAATACTAATTATATTGCAATTAGTTTTATTGATGAAAGGAATTTAAGCTTGATTTTAGTGCATTGTATTGGTAATTTCTGTAAAACAATGCAGTTTGGTAGAAGCACAGCTGTACTATATTGGTTCAAATGTTTAATTTCCGGGCGTTGAGTTATAGGTTTGAAATAAGTCCCACTTGTAAAGCTCGGTGTGAATTTAGCCCTTATCAGATGTCTAGAACTAATAGCCTGCCACGTAGAGCGTTGCATGATCATTCGATTTCTTTAAGCATTGGCAAAAGTGAAGGGATACCATTTGGAAACATCCTTAAATAAAGAAGCTTTTCTTTCATGGAACTAAGTAAACCTCTAAATCGTAACTTTTAACGCTGTCTTTGTACCGTTATTCATAGTTTTCAAGAATTTACATGGATCTCAGTAAAACATTCAGTAAGTGGATAGCATATCCTGTGTGTTTCGCGTTATATATTTATCTATTTATCTATTCGAACACATAAAAATTGGTACAAAGGGGCATCAAATACATATGCGCCACACAAGTCACTTGATTTGTATATGAGTTGTAATACTGCAGAGTGCCCAGACCGAAGCAGGTGGTTCCCTTAGGGGCTCACACTTGGAGTTTTCGACATAAAGGTCTGATCGATGAGGTGGCGGAGCAACGTCAGAAGATACAGTCCCATGGTAGCCGGTGACCAATGATTTTTTTATACGCCATTTGTTCCCTCAGGATCCTGGAGTTATGCGCACTATTGGTTCGGGATCTGCGTTTTCCAACTACCCTAGATGGATCCTCCATATCTACCAACCGTTTAAAGCGCTAGACATTCGTTTTTCGTTTTTTCAACTTTGTAAACAACACCCTTGCCGCGAGAGGGCAGTGTGTAGGACTTCCCTGGCAGTCGCTGTATATACGTGGCCATGTGAGAGCGTTTCGAGAGAAAGAACGAACTATCCCCACCGTCGGCCTTACCAGGGAATTTATATGCTCATTTTATATTGTACTCAGGAATAAAATAAATTTAAATCATTTTATTCAAACTAGTTTTCTTGTTATTTTCTTATTTATGAAACAAACTTTCTAAGATCCTCTGTGTACATTAAACAAAAGTATCAAAATAAATCCAAGTAATGAGTTACAAACAATTTTTTATCTTAATCTGTTCATTATAGAAAATATAATGAAGTTTAGTAGAGTTTTAGTAGACTATTTCAATTTAAATCAGTCAACAAATTTATTGTGATTGATAGTTAGTTTTATATAATTCATTTAATCAAATTAGTTTACGTCCATTTTTTATTATGTAAAATCTTACTATAACAATTTATAAATGTTCTACAATTCCAATAGATCCTTTAACATCCATTATTAATTAACGGATGATTTTATACACTTCAAGATCCTGTTTATTTTGTCTTATGCAGTACTCACAATGTATTTACTAATTCCGATATTGTATTTTTAACACTATCAATGGGCTATACTAATCATACTTTCCCCATTTCCTAATTAAATCAATAAGAAGTCATTTGAATGATTATAACTACTTGCTAGTACTTTGATTCATAACTCATAAGATTATATATTTAGTGTACAAGACCACAAATAGTAAATATTAATGAATATATAACTAGAATTTCTTGACAACAATATGACGAATTTATAGTTAACTGGCGGTTGATTTCGATGAGCAAAATTTATAATATTTGTGAATTGATTACTTTTCAAAAATGAAGAATATTTGAGCGAACAATTATTTTCAATAACTTCATCATCAGGCTCTACAGTTATAAGTCCATGATTATGATATTTTACAAAGGCCAAAATAAAGCATATACTAATAAATGTGACAATTTTATATGTTAAAAATGGTGAACGTTTGCATCCGTTACGACATATAAACTTCAAAATTGTGTTATTTGTAAATTAG